AATTGAAAAAATTTGCTTCATTTTTTAGTTGCTCCTGAATGGTTCAATATCGCTTCGTTATAAAAAAAATAACGAATTAATAACGAATTACGAAATTAACGAACGAAACCGCCCAGCCCTAGTTCTTTATAATTGGTGGCAGCGGCGTGATTTATTCTTGAGATATCATATCCTCTGATTTTTTAGAGATGCCTTTATGCCCAACTCCTCCTTTCCATGAAGTCCTCCAAAAAACACTGAATGGGGGTGCCATGGGGCTTTTAGGAAGTCATTTTGGGGATTGAGAGTTCCTCCTGGAGATGGGATTTCATTCTATGGTCCTCACAATTCCCGGATCTACTTTGACACTAGTTCTCTTCTCTCCATTTCCCATCTTCTCTCTTCAGGAGGCATGGAGAATAGATCATTTTCAAACTCGGAATCTCACTAGCACTTTCTGAAATCCTGTTACTTCGTGCGCCTTTCGAAATGCATTTGCTATGCTTGTGGAAGATGGCGTTCATGTTTAATCAGTGGCCGCAGCTGGGGGTGAAATGGCCAATTTCAGAGTGCGGCTCCTCATGAGTCTCCATAGCCATACTGCCACGGAGACTCCAAAATGCAGGCCACTATATTGATTATAATATTAGGGAGGAGTTGGTAAACATCTATCCAAATTATGCACAGATTCCAATGAGCCACTGAATTGATTTCCAAAAGCTTGCAGTGTAGCATCAAAAGAAATGCATTTCTACAACAAAGGATCTTAAGGGAAGGCACAGTTTTCAACCAAACTGGCACGATCTGGAGGCGTCTTTTTTGCACATTGTGGCTGAAAACCAGCCATGCATTTCCTTTCTGCTTGTTCATAAAAGAAAATTGATTTTTCTGCTTATTTCAACAGCTTTCGTGTTAGCAGCAAAATTGGGTAGGAATACATATGAGCCATGGACTCTATATGTCCCTGCCTTGTAAAGAGGATGGATCTAGCAGCTTCCAACTGCACCAGGAGCAGATTATTTGCACAATAATGGTAGCATAAGCAAGCAAACACTCTAAAGTTTTCACCTACATTCAGCAGAAGCAGGGAAGTCTTAGATTGTGAAGTATTACTCTATAAAAGCATCCTAACACCTCAACTGTGAAAATATCTATTATACCACTGATCAGAATCCGGGGAGCAGCGTAATCTTCTGCTGTTAGCCCCAACTTCTGCCAACCTAGCAGTTCGAAAACGTGCAAATGTGAGTAGATCAATAGGTACTGCTCCGGCGGGAAGGTAAGGGCGCTCCATGCAGTCATGCCGGCCACATGACCTTGGAGGTGTCTATGGACCATGCCGGCTCTTCGGCTTAGAAATGGAGATGAGCATCAATCCCTAGAGTCAGACACGACTAGACTTCATGTCAGGGGAAAACCACTGATCAAAAGTTTTAAGGATTGTTTTAGATAGGTTGCTGTGAGTTTTCCGAGCTATACAGCCATGTTCCAGAAGTATTCTCTCCTGACGTTTGACCCACATCTATGGCAGGCATTTTCACAAGTTGTGAGGTCTGTTGGAAACTTGGCAAGTGAGGTTTATATATCTGTGGAATAATGTCCAGAGTTGGAAAAAAACCTCTTGCCTGTCTACGGCATGTGTGAATGTTGCAATTGATTATCTTGATTGCCCACACAAATGACCAGCCACTGCCAGAAGGGACAGAGAGTTTCACCTATGCTGATGATCGTGCCATTACCGCTCAAGCAGGGAGCTTTGAGGTGGTTGAACAGAAGCTCTCCGAACATTCCACAGATATATAAATCCTACTTGCCTAGTCTCCAACAAACCTTGCAGCCTCTACCATAGATGTGGGTGAAATGTCAGGAGAGAATCCTTCTGGAACCTGGCCATACAACCCGAAAAACCTACAACAATATCCTAATTGATTCTATCATTTTATTTTTATTTATTTATCGTGTCATCAACAACCAGACTTTTATATTACATTTTTAACAAAAACAAACAGACAAAACACAGAATTTGCAAGCTTGGTAGTTGATTAAATGCCCTTTGACCAGTATCTGGCCCCTTGGAGTGCCTCTGGTGTTGCTGCAAGAAGATCCTCCCTTGTGCATGTAGCAGGGCTCAGGGTGCATTGCAGCAGGTGGTCAGCGGTTTGCTCTTGTCCGCACTCGCATGTCGTGGACTCCACTTTGTGGCCCCATTTCTTCAGGTTGGCTCTGCATCTCGTGGTGCCAGAGCGCAGTCTGTTCGGCGCCTTCCAAGTCGCCCCATCTTCTGTGTGCCCAGGGGGGAGTCTCTCTTATTTGGTTTCAGCCACGGATTGAGGTTCTGGGTTTGAGCCTGCCACTTTTGGACTCTTGCTTGCTGGGGTGTTCCAGTGTCTCCGTAGATCTTAGAAAACTATTTCTTGATTTAAGTCGTTGACATGCTGGCTGATACCCAAACAAGGGATGGGCTGGAGATGTCTCTGCCTTGGTCCTTTCACTATAGGCTGCTACTTCCTGTGAGGTTGTGCAATGCCGGCTAAGCAGTGTAATTTCTCCAGTGGTGTAGGGCGCAGACACCCCGTGGTAATGCAGAATGTCTCATTAAGAGCCACATCCACTGTTTTAGCGTGGTGAGATGTGTTCCACACTGGGCATGCATACTCAGCAGCAGAGTAGCACAGCGCAAGGGCAGGTGTCTTCACTGTGTCTGGTTGTGATCCCCAGGTTGTGCCAGTCAGCTTTCGTATGATATTGTTTCTAGCACCCACTTTTTGCTTGATGTTCAGGCAGTGCTTCTTGTAGGTCAGGGCACAGTCCAGAGTGACTCCCAGGTATTTGGGAGTCATAAAAACATAGAAAAAGTTTATTAAACTGCCAAAAGACCTCACAACCTCTGAGGATGCCTTCCATTGATGTGGGCAAAACATCAGGAGAGAATGCTTCTGGAACATAGCCATACATCCTGGAAAACTCACAGCAATCCAGTGATTCTGGCCATCAAAGCCTTTGACAACACATTGTTTTAGATGTTTATTTATTTGGATACTCACGTGAGGGTTATTTATCTATAAATTGTAGGAATGAGTAAGTTCTGCTATATGTTTTATGGTAAAGACGATATTGTAAGATTAGGCCTTGTGTTAACTGTATCCAAAATAACAACTCCAAAATTGCATCCCAAGACAAGTTGGCTATTGCCACTTGATTAGTTCTATGCAAACAGTCTGAATTTTAATAACAGTTTTGCAAAACATACTTTGGTTTTGCCAGCCCTTGGTAGGCTAATCTGCTCCACTGGGCTCGAAATATAATCCCCAACATACAGACACCCAAGCAGAACTCTTACTCCGTTCTGTGCCTATCTTCTGAGATTTCAGTAGGCATTTCTGACATGTTTTTGAGCACACATTCTCTCTTAATTGTAAGGCATTGAAGTGTTCGACATAAAAAGAAATCTCAGGGAGTTGTTCTTGTTTTGTACCAGCCTGTATTGTGTGTGTTTTTCCTGCATTCCAGCAGTATCTAAATCATCTGTGTGAGCCTTCCTCCATTCTGGGAGTTTTCAGACATGTTCAGTGCAATTCCATGGTAGTGTCATAGGCTATGGAAATGGAAGCCAAACATATCTGGAGAGCAACAGGTTGTGAAAGTCTGGCCTACATTTAAAGAATCAATTTCATTCCTGATGATACATTGATAGTCTAGCAAAGTACTGTATAGACTCGAGTATAAGATGAGTTTTTCAGCCCTTTTTTAGGCTGGAAAAGCCCCCCTCGGCATATAATCAAGTCAAAGTTATTTATTATTTTATTATTATTACATTTATTATTTTACTCCATTATTGTTATTATTACATTTATTATTTCACTCCATTTAATATTATTTTAATTTCATTTATTATTTTACCCTATTATTGTTATTATTACATTTATTATTTTACTCTCTTTATGATTATTTATTTTACTATATTATTTTAATTATATTTATTATTTCACTCTATTTAATATTATTTTTATTACATTTATTATTTTACTCTATTTGTTATTGTTATTACTACATTTATTATTTTACTCCCTTTATTATTATTGGAAGGATACGTAAGTACATTTACATTGAAGGTGTCCACATCCCGTTTGGACTACTGCAATGCTCTCTATGTGGGGCTGCCTTTGAAGATAGTTTGGAAGTGTCCTGTGTACCACATCTGCATGGTATACAATGGTAGACTCCTGCAGAGGTGAGAGGATCCCTCTTGTCCTTTGCTGAATGGAGCATTTGTTGGATTTTCTTGGTGGGTCTGTAAGTGGTTTGTATGTTGTGTTTCCTCATCAGTTTTCCTATGCAGTCAGTGCTTCCCTTGATGTCTGGCAAGAACACAACAGCAAAACAACAGAGGGGAAACAAACAGGCACATAAAATCACTCTCAACAAGGGATTCCCCCCGGGCACTTCCAAGCCATTGAATGCTAATCAAGGTGATCAGCTGAAACATTCACAGCTAGCCCCAGCAGACAAAAATCCTTTGTCTCACCCTGGTCATTCCACAGATATATAAACCCATTTTTCCTACTTCCAACAGACCTCACTACCTCTGAGGATGCTTGCCATAGATGCAGGCGAAACGTCAGGAGAAAAATTGCCTCCAGAACATGGCCATATAGCCCGGAAAAACCTACAACAACCCAGTGATTCCGGCCATGAAAGCCTTCGACAATACATTATACTGCAAATGCTTACTTTGCGTAATGGTTGAGCCGCCCCTGTCTGCCAAGCCCCTATCTCTATGCACAAAAATAAACTCTTGATTTCACATTCTTTACCTTTCTTTGGGTCAAAGTCTGAGAGTTGGGATATTCTCCCCGAAATTTCCTCCGCCACCTAAAGGCGATGAAGCTGGAAACAGTTTTGTCTTCCATCTTTTGCATCCCACACAATTTGGATGAAAGGTTTGTACATTTTCCAGAAGGTGTTGGTTTTGCTCTCTATGGACTGCCATTTACACTATGTTCACCTCTTCTACTGTTTAGATCCACCCCGGATTATCAGCTTGTTGGAGCCCATCCGGCACATGGAGCACTGCATTGAGTTCTCGGTGCATGGGAACCCTCCACCGCAGATCCATTGGCTGTACAACGGCCAGCTTCTCAGGGAGACAGAGTTCATACGGATGGAGCTCTTCCAGGAGGGAGAAGTCTCCGATGGCTGCCTGCTCTTCAACCATCCCACACATTACAACAACGGCAACTACACCATCGTGGCTACCAATTACCTGGGGACTGTCAACCAGACTGTCAGAGGGCACTTCCTGGAGAAACCTTTTCCAA